ACATTATTAAAATGCCATTCAATTGTCGCTACAATTTTTCTTACTTGGTGCTTGGAAGTTCCAAAGGATTCGAGTGATCACGAAGCCTTTTCCGTATGCGCAGCACATCAGTTTTGGGACCAACATTTTCATCGTTGTAAAATAAATCAACGCTTATGTCCATTTTACTTTTTATTTGAAAAAAAAACACTCTCTCGTAAACATTAAGTAAAGTATATTTTAATTTTTCGCCACAAAATCATCAGCTGTTTAATTATCTGTCAAATCGTCACTTTTTTAGGTTGGCAACATCAATACAACTTCAACTTAAGTGAGTTGTAATTCGTAATGCCAAAAAAGAGTTAAGTTGTTTTAAAGTTGAGTTGTTTCAATTTCAATTCAACTGAGTGGAGTTGTAAACCGTAATAGGGACTTTAATTTGAAAAAGGTTTCGCTTAACATAAAAAACGTTTCATTTAATTTGAAAACGGTTTCCCTTAACATGAAAAAGGTTTCATTTAATTTGAAAAAGGTTTCGTTTAATTTGAAAAGGGTTTCATTTAAACTGAAAATGCTATATATACATATATATACTATATATACTATAAATACAGCTTACTCTTCCACGCAAAAATCTGCAATATGCTAGTCTTCCACGCGAATAGTAAAATGTGCTAGTCTTCGACGCGAATAGTGAAACGTACTATTCTTCCACGGTAATTTGAGAAGTTCTATTCTTCGTTGGGTGCGACGATATATTCAAGCCAAAAATATTAAAAAACAAAAAAAAATTCTTAATATTTTCATAAAATAACTTTTTTTGAAAAAAAAACATAGATAATGTTAAAGAAATGTATATCATTTAGAAAGTGCAAGTTCTTACCTTTAATTTGATATACTTATTTTATTATGCTTTGCTTTTGAGTCTTCAGAATTCAATGATGATAAAAAAATAAAAATGCATTTGGTAGCAAGTGCCAGGTGTTGTGTGAGGTGATATCATAGTTTCTTTTTCGCAGAACTTCTTTCTGCGTAGGCGGCCTTCGGCCGCGCACAGGGCTCATAACCTTACAAAGTATAATTCTCCTTTCTGTATTGCCAAAATAGGGGCGAAAGCGTAAGAGTGATATGATATTTTTTGCACAGAATTTCTTTCCACTTCCAGCGGAAACCGTACACTTTCCAAAAAATTCCGTTAACTCTCCTTGTTTAATTATGTGTACATTTATGTACTTATGTGTACATTTATATTTTTTATTATCACTGAATTCTTTGACATCATTACGTCTTTAATCGGTTAGGTAGTTTAGAAAATATTAATATTTTAAAATATCAAAACATTTTATTTCAGCCTCTTATATCTACCTTACTTTTCAATTGCACCAAATAATATTTGTATAATTGAAATCATCGTAAAAAATACTATCGATCTGCATTTTTAGTTTTTCCATAGCTGAACGGTTGGCTATCTAGATGTATGCACTTTGTTTAAAAAATGTTTATTATTTTTTTATGAAAATATAACTTACTATTAAAAAAAACCATGTAAATCCAAATTTCAAACTATGTAGAACATTTCTAAAAATTCGGCGTATTTTAACAAATGTTGATCACAATTTTAAACATTTTAATCTGATTTCTTAGAATTGTTTTGAGTAAGCAGTTTTGGAGTAACAACTTAAAAAAAAAAATAATAATTTACCAAAAATCAAAGGCAAGTCCTACCTACTTAAAGTTTGCACTTTGAATTGAATGGGCTACAAAACTGCATACTCGGAATGTTGCTAAGAAATCTAATTAAAAAGCTCAAAACTTTGATGAAACTTTGTGGAACTTAGTTAATTTTTGTACACGTATAAAAGTTTGGCTTACATGGTCTTTGTTATATAACGAGCTACACTTTCATAAAAATATAATAAATATTAAATAATCGAAAGGGGAATAGGCAGTTAGAATCGTTTCATGAAAAAAACTTAACAAATCATTATAAAAACTTAAAAAAATTCTGACAAGAGAGATAGACTGCAATATAGCGAGAGTAAATACATGAGGTCTGTCACGTACATATGGGTATTTCCATACGTCACATATGTGACAGTCGTACGTTTCAATGAGATACAAACAGGGAAAAACATTTGTTTTCTTTTACTTTTTTTGGACCCTTGTATAGGACATAATTAACTATTTAACCGAAAAATAAAAACAATCGAACTGCATGGTCCTTAAATATACGCAACTAGCAGACCCGGCGAACTTCGTCCCGCCCAAAATTAATTTTTTTATTGAAATATTTGGTCCAACGTTTTCGCCAGCAACTCACGTTCATGTTTGGTTTTGTGGCCGACAGAAGGCATATCCCCATTGCCGTCTTAAATAACCTGACGAAAGCGTTATACCGGGAAGAAGTCCTTGCGGCTCGATAGTGAATCGTCCTTGAATCTGTATAGTATAGTTGGTGGCAATTTACAAACTGGTGAGTATCATTGGTCCACATTCTGTTTAGTCACCGTAAAGCAAGGACTGCAATAGTTCTGATGGTTGATTTAACGGAAGTAATTTAACTTTGATCCCTGGTGCCTCCGAGTCGACGATTTTTAGCAATAACTCGGCTCCAGCGCCACTAAAAATTATCATTAAAATCGTTTCGGTCGTTTAGGAGGAGTTAAGCCACCAGAATAAGTCTTTTATATACTGACACTCTTCGGCATTTTTTCCCATACAAAAAAACTCTCACGCATTCGTTATACGGAGAAAATGCGCAACATCATCAGCGAAAAAAATGTTCAAAAATCAACGGTATCTTATAGCCATTAAAAACTTGCACTTTATGATACTGAAATTGAACTACAAAACTGCATACTCAAAATTTGGTACAAAAAAATTTATTACGAAAAAAAACACACTGTATTCTGGGTGTATATATTTACAGATAGGTAAAAGTTTCAATATGTTTGGAAAGCGCCACTTCCCTTTTCCAGTAGCCCCAAATTCTCTATACCAATTTCCAGGACATTACCACAAATACTTTCAGAGATATACGGTATGAAAAATTCGATATGCATGGGTGATGCCACGCTCCCTTAACATATCCAAAGTCTGCAGTAGGTGTTCAAAATTTCAAAAAATCAGTACAGCCGTTCGCGAGATCACTTCTTATAAAAAGAAGGAGCTTCTCTTTATATAATTAGTGTAGGTAACACAGGGCAACACCGATTTTGACGCGGCAAATGTTGAAGCTGGTTTTGATAGGCCTTTTTTTTGCTGATTAAGAATCCGTAAGTATAAAGTTTCCATCAGCTCCAGATTTTGAGAAAAATGTGATGAA